ATAGATCCTCTTAAATGTTACAAATTGTACCTTCAAGTTGATGAATATTGTTTTTTTAAGCGAGGGGAGGACTACAGGACATCATATAATATAAGGAGCTCTACCTTGCAAGTGTAAGGAGTGTACCGGATGGACTCTGGCTGTGGTCTGGGCAGGTATGCCAGCAGATGTTTAGCGGTGAGGGTCTGCGTTGGGGGGATGGAGTTCCTGCGAGGCTCAATCCTGATGGGGCTCCTGATGTGACTCTTGCACTCAGCGTTCTGTAGCGTCTCTCTGCTGCACATCACAGTCGAGATCATTGGTGAGGTCTTCAATGTGTGGATTACGGTTTTACTTCTGTTCGAGCAACGAAATTAAATCGAATTATGTCAGATATTTTTTGCTGTAAGTGTTTTTAATTACAGCATCTTAATCTCTCTTGTAAGTGCTGCCTCAGTACTTCTACAGGTACATGTATTATCTGCTTATAATTTATGTGTTTCAAGTGTGTACATTTCAAAGATAGCGATGAAATCTTTGCTTCATTCTATGCCACTTTTTCCTTAATTGACCCCTTTATTTATCATTTATTAAACGGACTAAGTGACATTTACTTTTACTAATATGTACGTATATTTCGTATTGTATGAAAAACTGTACAATGAACCCAAACAGTGAACTCAGTAACTACAAGAATTATGTTTAAAACGAGTGATTTCGAGGAATTTTGAGCAGATTATTTCCTATTTATAAAACTTTTTATACAATTCTCTGTCTGAATTATGTATTTTTATTTTTAATTATATTTTTTAACAATCATACAGACTTAATAGGCTTCTTTTTTTTTGACAAATTCAGTGTTTTGTCCGATTCTTGGTCATTGTTCTATTGGACAATTTACTTCACATTCACTTTTCATCACAAAAGTGAGCCAAAAGATGTGATACAGACCTACTATGCATATTTTTAAAGTTTTCTAGCACGCCTTAAAATCGTGAAGTTTTGGCGACCCCTAGTATACTAATACTGTTGTATTGAATAACTGTCTGTGAACATTCGGTCCCAGTTTGATGCCATTCTGATAATTATTTACAGAGATAGATGTGATAATACAGACACTTTCCCTTTTGGAGAAGCCTAAATCTTCACTATTTTCAGTTTTGGGGAGAATCCAAACAGCTTAGTAAACTAATATTTTAATTCAACCATGCATTTCAAAAATTAGACTGATCCTGTGCTGAAGTCGTGCTCCGTGCTACCTCGGGTATCTCAAAAACTAAAGCCTTTTTAGGGATTTGTGGAAATAGATAAGAATATAGTCATGATAATTAATACTGTGGTGATGGTTTTTGATTCAATGTAACATCTACAGGATATTACATTTGCATTTTTATCTTGTTGTTAACTCAACCAACTCCCTTCCAAAACAGAAATCCAAAGAGATTCCCTCAGATACTACCCACAGCTAAACGTCGTGTGATAATGTGCCAAAATAATGGCATAATGTTTCTTTATTTCCACATCAGCTCAACATGAGGTCTGATGTGGGCTGATCAGTTTCTGAGTCACTGCTGCAACTTATTACACATGTAGGGATTATCACTAATCCTCAAAAAATAATCGGAGAAACACCAAGGAACACAGTGGATTTGAGAAGATTACAGACTGTATCAGCAGAAGGCTTAGAGAAAGTATTGTCCAGATGTGGCCAAATAAACTGGGGTGAATTCACTGGTGTGCTACAGCTGACCCCGAGCGGCCAATCAGCTGGACAGGGAACGCACAGTATTCAGTGGCATAGTGGTACCTGGAGAGGTAGTCTTAATTTATGGCCCAAAAAGGAGAAACACTCCAGTGACATTTAAGACTACTTTTGTATATTTTTCTGGGTAAGACAGCTGCGTAAGTATGTCTTTTGAAGGACGTATTCCTCATTCTTACTCCATCCACTCATGAATATTAGACAACTATGTCATTTTCTTTGCCAGAAAAAACCTAAATTAAGCTCACAGAACAATACTGAAGGATGCACATCAGAGGAAAAGACTTCTCAGAAAGAATTCTCCAGGTTTGTTTGTTTTTTGACAGCAAATACTTGGAGTTACTGTAATTAAGTGGAAGAATACCCTCATGAACTTATTGGAAATTAAATTATTTAGAGAAAATATGAGTCGTCTAATCCTTTAATTGATTAACAGAAAATTAACCAGCAATTATTTTGATAATCGATTGACTGTTTTTGATCAAACATCCTCTGCTTCCTTTGCTGCTTTTTCCTTGTTTTAATTTAAAGTTAACTGTTAGAAGACATTCACAGATATCAGCTTTGAATCTTGGACACTGGAAATAGCATTTTTCACTATTTTCTGATGTTATATCCACTACAAAAATCAATCCATTGTGAAAATAATAGAATAAATAAATAATGAAAAAAAAATTATTTTGGAAATTACAGACCTGTAAAATAAAAAGATACCAAAAATAAATGTAATGTACCACAGTGTGTTAAAAAGCTTAATTACACAACATAAACAGTAAAGTAGTTGAGGTAGTTACATTTTTGGAAGTAACTGAGAGTAAAGTAGTAACTAAGACACACTAATATTAATATTTTTTAATATTTTAAATGTTAAAAGATGAGAAAGCCACATGATCTACACAGAATAGCTGAAATTACAATTTTCATTGTAATTTAACAATATGGTTAATATAATTACAAAAAAAATCTTGTTTTTTCTGATTTATCCTATAAAAATAACTCTATAAGAAGATAAAACAATGACAGACCTCTGTAAAGCATAACTCCAGATGAACACAGCTGCTGGCAGAAGTGAACGTCCTTGTTGGAGTCGTCAGGTTTGATCAGAGGAAGAAGGAGACATAAATCCAGATGTTTATCTCCTCCCCCCGCCGAGTAACTACTGACAACTCTCAACCCCAAAGCTCCACATGTGCCACTGGACCACCTCAACTTATCGTAGTTAGATGTAACAAAGGATTGTCCGGCTGCTGTTAGCATCCAGATGCACACACAGCTGTCACTAAACGTATTATCAGTATGATCCCTTTAAAGAAATAGTTTGACATTTTATAAAACTGTCTTACTTTTCTTACCAAGAGTCAGATGAGAATTCAGTACGCTAGGTCTTAGCTTAACATAAAAACAGGAAACCACTAGTATGGTTCTGTGCAGCACCTCTGAAGCTCATTAACTGCCTCGTTATATCTAATCCAAGTGTAAAGAACGAAGGCTGTCTCCTGGCTGTAGCTTCGTATGAGAATTGAAAGTGGTTTCAATCTTCTTTCCTAACTCAGCCCCCAAAGTCAAAACTATTCCTTAAACAAATCCTGTGCAGGTTTACAGCTAATGATCAGCAGCTACGTGTTGGATGAATAGTAAAATGAGGAATAAACTGCATTAAAATATTGCTTTAACCAAAGCACTTTACAGTTTGACTCATTCACTAACCATCAGGAACAAAGAGGGTTCAGAGTCTTTCCCGAGGACACTGTGGATTAGAGGAGAGGTCCCACACAGTCATCACTTTCCAACAACCCATAATAAAATGTCCATTCACAACCTCTATGTACATGAACTATACAGGTCTGTTTGTGTACTATACTGTATATACTCCTAATGTTAATTATTGTATGATCTCTAACGCAGTGGAGTGTCCGGACCCCCAGACAGCTGTGGAGGATAAAACAGAGGAACATATTGAGGGAAGCAGCTGATGTCAACCCTTTAATAACATTCAACACAGCTCCAACTCTATACACTACAGACTATACTCTGTTTTTGTACATGTTAACAGGTCAGTCACCTCAGTAATATCAGAATGACTTGTATCCATTATGTTGACTAGTGCTGTTATTTTAAGAAAATCTAAAAACATGAATTAGTCATTCTGTCTGTGGAGGGTTGAGAGCCTCTGCTCTAATAGATGGTTCATAAAAATAAAATAAAAACAAGATTATGAAATTCCTTGACTGTGTAACCCTGCAGGAGCAGCCGGGCACTGAGTCACTCCACCCACTGAGTCACAGAAACCATTTGTAAAGACACCATGTTTAATTTTCTGTGCCAGTATAAGGAGCTACAATTTCATCATAACAGCATAAAAAACATTATGTGCAGGCAAGGTGGCGTCCCCATCACATCCATTAAAAACAGTCCAGAAAAGGTTTTGAAAAGTTGAATCTTTTGGTTTATTTGGACAAGTAATAAATACATTATAGAAGAGTTCAGTTTGAAGGCTTGTACAAGAAAACAGATGCAAGGTCCAGGCTGTCTTTGTTAGAGGCATTTAGATTCAAACAAACAAAACTCTCCTGAAAGTTCAGAAAAACAAGTTTAATTAACAATGTGCAGCGACGCTAACGCTGAAGACGACGTCACATATTAGCAGATGGCAGCCGCTGGTTACACAACCTCAGTTGGCTGTGTGGTGTTAAACCCACAGAGCTATACGTTGGAGGATGTAAAGAAGCCTCCGTGTAATCTCTGCAGGACTAATTGCAGTCGGAGAAGGATTGATTACAACCAGCTTACATCCTCATCAGAGAGGGCAAAGTGTTCAACCTCCACACATTTAAAACCTATGTATGTTTATATTCAATGAAACCGTGAATGGAAATGAATAAAGGCGTGAATCATTATTTTCCTCAGAGGAAAAAGTGCTTTAGTATCTTTCTGCTGTTCCTCCGAGCATCTATTTGATTTTGGTCAGCGCTACGGCTCTCCTCTCGGTGTTCTGAAACAAAGCTCGGATCAGGTTCTTCACCTCCGAGCTGGAGAACTCCACCGCCAGCGGACCTTTACCGTCGGCCCACCTGTGGGAGGAATCAGACACATCAGACAGGCACACACACACACACACACACAACAGCAGGATGGTAACCAGGAGCTCTTCTGTCACAGCTGAAGGGGCGTTTACTCGTCATGACGAACACTTCTGAGTAGGTCTGTCAGGTTATCGACTTATCGAACATATATGGACACAACCTTCCATATGACCCCAGTATAAAACGACCGACGACAGATCACAATACGTCACACAGAACAGACTGTTTATCATCCAGAGAGATTTTCATGCAACTTAAAATACTTGGAACGAGCTTAAAATACAAATTTAACTATAAAACAGAATAAGGTAAACCAGTGCAGTACACAGGAGGAGGAAAAATGACTTGAGTGTAAATAAATTCATACAGGAATAAAAAAAAAAAAAAAAGGAACAAATAAATGCTAAAATGAAAGTTAATGATTGTATATTTATCACACACACACGTATTTATTTCTGTATGTTAATGAGGAAGG